CCCCTTCATCTGTCAACAACCAGTAGTTCCCCATGGAAGGATAGGCCCCATGGGCCCCTTCATCTGTCAACAACCAGTAGTTCCCCATGGAGGATAGGCCCCATGGACCCCTTCATCTGTCAACAACCAGTAGTTCCCCATGGAAGGTAGGTTCCATGGGCCCCTTCCCCATTCATGACTGATCTTTGAAAAAGTCAGTCTTGTGTTGGCGCAGTGCAGGCAGTCACAGCTCCTGTGAATTTGTGATTTAAAGGTAAAGGGAAACAATAAAGGCACTATTTTAAATAATTTATTATAATACCTAAAAATCAGTGTACCTGGCATTCCATAGCCATGATTTCAGTCAGCCACTGATTAGAAATGTGCTACATCTACTATCATTTTCTGAATAAGGAAAAATTAGAGGACACAAAGAACAAAACATCGTTCCAGATATTTTGCATCCACTGTGTGACCTTAACTTTATGTTTTATTCTAACCTGTAGAATTGTTAGAAAAATAGGGTTTATCAGTGAATGCTCACTAAAACCTTTAGGTTTCTTGGACTTTCTTTCTGGAAGCCCAAGGAAATAGATTTTTAAAAACAATTATTATTTCTTTATTATTTATTTTTACTGTGAGTCAAGCAGCTCTGGTCTCCTGATTCCCCATACTAACATGGGAAAGAAAGCAATATCCAGGATACATTAAAGAGGCCATTTTTCTCACACAGATGTTGTGATGCTCGTGTAAATTTAAGAAGGACTTTTCCTTTCTTTCATAATTGTGAGACAGTGAGGTGTTGTGCAGTTTAGGTTGGCTAAGAGCCCCTGCAATGATGATTGACTCCTGGAAGAGCCCAGAGATTGACTTAGACCCTAGATCTCTGTAAGCTTTTAGATTCAAGCTAAGTCTGGTGCTGATGCCTCTCCAGGGACAGCAAGTTAGACTATTTAATGTTTTATACTACATTCATAACTGAAAGCAAGGGGCTATACTTGAGCGCCTACTCTACACTTCTGACAGCCTACATGTGATGTATGGACCATCTTTTCATTTGGAATTTGGTTCCATATACTCTGTAGGTAATGTGCCTGTGCAGATTTCTTAAGAAAAAATGTGAATGTTTGAGTTTTGATTTGCTAGCAGAAACTAACATTACAGTTTCCATTAGTAATCCAGGCTTACTGTTTAAGAAAGAGTACTTGTTTAGGGCTGAGAATATAGTGAGTGGCTGAGTGCTTGCCTGGCATGGGAGGCAAGGTCTTGGGCTTGACTCCCCAGCACCAGAAAAAAAAGTTAAGTTTCTTGAAAATCATATTGGGTTATTATTTATTACAGCTAAATAATCACTATAAATGCTAACTTAGACTGAAACCTTAAAGCTTATCAAAATCATTTAGACGTTTTGGAAACAATTTTCATTGCCTTTTTTTTTTTTTCCCCAAAGATAGTCCTGTAGCCCTGCCTCTGACTCCTGAGTTCTGGGACTAAAGGTGTGCACCACCATGTCTGGCTATATTGCTTGTTCTTTAAAAAGTTTTATTTATTTTTTTTTAATGTAACATTTGCTATTTCATTTAGGCAGCTATGTTCACAATGTAAAACCTGTTCTATATTGTATTTTATAAAGAGGGACGTAATGGTGTATGATCCTAGAGCCTACAAATAACCTGTGAGATTTTTTTTTTCTTGTGGAAAACATTTGTGCTTATAAGAAGTTAATTCAGAAAGGAGCTGAAGGAAGCAAACTGTAAGATGTACGCATTCCCCAAGTTGGAAAGTGCCCGTGTTCTGAAATAGCCTCATGGATGAGAAGTATATATGTAGGCACATCGCAAGGTATCTCCTGCCCCTCCCCCCTTTTCTCTTTGGGAAAAACAACTTTTCCCCTATGGATGAAAGCATATCAGTAACTGAGTTATAAAGCAGGGGATTCTTGATGAAATTGGTGAAAGAGGAGCGAGAGCTAGAATGAGAAGAGTGCTAGAGGCGTGCGCTCAGAGCCGGCAGAATTAGTGGGGTTTATACTGAAGACAAGTGGCTCATATAAGCAAGCAGGGCAGTTTCCTATAATACAGTGTTAATAACCAACTGAAATTTTCTTACTTTGGTTATAATATACTTAACATTTAAAAGTTATCTATAGTTAACATTGAAAAAATTTATGTTTCTGTTAGGAAAAAAGGGAATATTGGAATCTTGTTAATTGCTGCCTGTTATTGATTATTAATTCCGTGTAGCTTTGCTTGTTTTCTTATCTCTGGTGTCTGATCAGCAGTCATTCAAACCAGTCTTCAAACGTCCTTTGAAAAGAGTCACCATCCACTTTGGTCATTCACTTTGCTGTTAATTTGACTCTGAGCTGTGCACCTGTTTCCAGGTCGGGTTCTGGTTTTTCTCTAAGGTCTTTGTGCCAGTGAGCTGAATCACAGTATTTGGCAACAGTGAAAAGGCTTTTGGCTTATGGTATGGCAGACAGTGAGTCCCTTTTGGCAACCTTGTGCTACATTTTGGTGCTTAGTGACAAAGAATTGATATTGGCGACTGACTTAGGGAATATCTTCCTTTCATCCCCACCCCAAACAGTTATCTTTTGAGATAGGGTCTCTCTGTAGCCCCAATTGGCCTTGAACCCACAATGTAAACCTGCCTCTATCTCCCAAGTGCTGGGGCGAAAGGCATGTGCCACCACCCCAGCTCTAGTTTTTAAAATGGTGTTGCTAAACATTGAATTACCAAGTATTTTGTATTTTATATTGCTGGTGAGTGTCCTAGCCTTGTTTACATGGTAAACCAAAAACAGGATACAGAAAATGGAGATGAGTCATGTGGGCTGGGTATAGTGTCACTGCCCTTGAGAAAATGTAGGAACTGGTGGGTCATATTCTAATTCAAGGGTCCTGGACCATGCCCATCTTTTCCACTCCCATTGCTGCCACAGTGGTAATAGCACCACATCTCCGGGCAGAGCGTGGTAAATTGGGAGGGGCTTTTCAAAACAAAAGCCTGGGTCTGGAGAGAATGCTTGATATCACCTGAGACACTGTTGGTGTTGACTATGGAAAAAGGAGTCATAGGTGTCCCTTCAAGTTAACTGCCCCTGCTGCCTGTTGTGTACTGTTAGGTAAGAGCAGGAGGGCTCCCTGGGTGAGGTGTTTAGCCTCTGCCTTGCCTTGCAAGCCTGAAAGAATCTAGAGCCCTTCCTTCTATGGATCAAAAGGGAGAGATAAGAGACTTTTGGTCAATGTGGGATGTCAGAGAGAGGCCTCAGTGCAATGCTTTTGGGAAAGAAGGCCTATCTTGTAAGGCTTTCTTGTGCCTTTGTTTTATTTCTACCTTGGGTACAGGATTTTGATCAAGTCTAGCCTTAGAATTGTTTAAAAAAACCCAATACTATTCATAGATGGTGCTTTCTTGAGTAGCAGAAGGTCAAGGTTATACCCATCTTTCTTTAAGAATAGTGATTTTCTGTGTCACTTTATTACTACAGAACAGAACACAATAATTGCAATCGAATGCCTGGATATATTTACATAGTCATTCCCAATATTCTGTGTCACCAGGTATCTTACTCTTTTGACTGAAGGTTATTTTTTTGCCTTTTCTTTTCCTAGAAA